TAGATGAACACCCATAAGAAGTCGTTGGCAGTACGCACCTACCTTAGTACATGTAAAACCTCGTTACCCTAGATACATGTAACTACCTAGGTACCTAAGATTTGATAATAATATTTAATATTTCTTCTCCTCAGTATTATCCCTCCCATATTAAAGCGCAATGTTTTTTTTCAAACATAACTGGAAATTACCATCGACTTCTCTCTTAAGCTAGGTTCCAATCTAGGTATGTCGATTACTGTCAATTACCTCCCACGCTTCCCCATACCCCAATTCGCGGGTAAAAGTGGATCAGATCTACGTCGCCTCGCTAATGAATGCAGATCGTTCTATTTTTAGATCAGGATCCCTGAGCAGCAGCCATGGCCAGCGAACGCGACGGTAAAAGTAAAGGCAACGGCAAGGACAAGAAACTGCCACCCATCAACACCTCCATCGTAGCTCAAGCAGATGTTGGAGATGGCCCCCCCACCGGAAGTTCAGTGGTAAGTGTTAAATATAAAATTCAACCACAGAATTACAAGTATAAAAACATCACTAACATTTGCTCTAACTACCTAGTATTCATGTACCGACTTGGATAAGAATCACCCATATCACCATTTGAACGCAGCAGATGTGCGCCGCCAGACCAAAGATGCACCGAGCGGGAGAGCCGTGGCCCCGGAACAATGGAATGGAATGACAAAGTACCCTCAAGGCTTCCAGAACAAAGAACAAATTCAGGGTCTACAAAGCAAAGAGCCAAGAAAAGAGTACCCTGTAGTTCTCGGAAAGGGCACATGGGACCAGGCGTCAACGGGCAGATCAGGACCGGCGCGAATCATCTTCAGCCCTGATCCAGACAATCGTGACAAATTTGACGTGGTCTACCACTCTAGCAAGAAGCCTGGGCAGAACGATAAGGACATAAAGCTGGCGCAATATAGACCATCCAAAGCGTGAAATAAGGAAGATCCAAAAACTGCGGTCTATAAGGTTTCAATAGCCGCTTCTTCGGTATTTCCATCCCTTCCCAGTATCTGGGATCCATACCGAGTTTTAAGTTAATAGCTTATCAGCAAGCAGTTGAAACTTCCATGGCCCCCTCAATCGTTGAATTCGGCATCCTTATGTGAATATAGTCAGTATGATTCGCCCGAGGCCATCGATTCCTGGTAGATGCCGGATATCAGATACGCAAGCAGAATATGCAATAACCTCGCACGAAGCATATGTCGAGGTGAAATTTGCATCACCTACAGAAACGGGATATTTTACGAAGGGACGGCTTACTCACTAATTGGTTTGGTTTGGAGGATACAACAGGTTTACACACCTAACTAATGCATGTATACTTCTTGCGATATCCTCTAGTACCATACGTTAGAGGAGCTTAGCACACAAATTTACCCTTGACGTAAAATATACTACTAATCACGCGGTTTAGTTCTTATCTCAAGTGACATGCTAGAACAAAGAATCTTTTCAGTACTAGCGCTGTTCATCTACCAAATATTGTGTCTCGCTCCTTAGTTTAGAACATGGAATGGGATTCTAAATCGGCGTGGTAATGGGTTAATGGTTTTTGTTTCTGTAGTACCTAAGGTGCATCTACTTTAAAATTTGGTGTTTCCTTTTTCTTTTGTCTTTCCTTTTTGTCGTTCAACGAACATAAGTGCTGGAAGTGATATAACTTAAGTAGCAAAAGATTACTTCGAAGTGTGGTCCTTCTAGGTAAGCATTCCGTAAAGCAAGCGCAAGTTGAAATTGGTCAAGTCTTAAAGGCCCATACATTCCTAGGTTAGAACCAAATTATATGTAGCTTAGATCTCTAATGTAAACAGGAACCAGGGTCACTACAGCATAACTCAACAAAAAATGCAACGAGGCGTAATCTCTTATCCATGTCTTTTAGAGTTCCAAATACTATCATTGGGGCTATAGATATCGTATCACCGGATCTCCGAACCAAATCGTGCTATAAACCCATGCATACCGGCTGTTGATAAGGGTGGATGCTAATTTGGGGAGCCCCATCTAGCCAGGGTATGAGAAGGACATTCCAGTTGCTGCGCCGTCTTATGTGCTTAAAGAGTGTAGAACCTGCTGTTTCTGCGGATAACTAGGTACTTTATGAATACCTAGGTAGATAACATTGAAGGCGATAGTCGTGTGATCATTTTTTGCTTCGTGACCGATTTCCAGTTTATCTGCCTAACGTTATATAAAGCTTGATATTAATAGAATAATTGTCTCGAAGTAATTAACAGGCACCTAATATAATACGCAATATCGTTGCTTGATGAGAGTAGACTGTTAATAGAACCCATCCTATCCATATAATCGTGCTTTGATCACTATGATCTTAATCCTGGTAGTTAAACCTTTTCTAAATGTTTAAGCCAAGTAAGTTAAGTACTTAGCGATTATTGGAACCTTGAGACAGGTATGATATAAATCATTACTATATTTCCACTTAGCATCTTCTAATATCAAAGCTAAGAGGACTCTATCATAACTTAGCAGTTTTACGACGCATGTTAAATGTAGGAACATTTCATCTTGAGAAAAACTCTAGGTAGTCTCCCTAGCTGGTCCTATTCATATTTAAATAAGTGCATGGAAATTAGCAGTTGTGTTTTATACGCGATCACTATATTCCACTTATTCCATAGGGCTGCGCGCATAGACTCGCCTAACCAGTCAGCTACCGACAGATGCGGTAATGAAATAGCTAGATACTAGTGTCTGATACGTCAGAAAATACGGTCCTGTTTTAGCTGAACAGCCCTAGTCTTAGGCTTAAACCAATATAGACAAGTAAATGCCGATCTTGATCTCTCCAGGGGCACAGGATAAGGATATTTATCTACGAGCTTGAGCATTGCATTTCAATGGAAAATCACAACGCTGTTATGCATACCGCTCGTCTTATATATCGAGTCCTTATCAAACGCGCGATATTCATCAGATGGGAAGATACCTGAATTGTTGGGTCAAGGCGATTAATTCGTCTATCCCGTTGAGTGTATTTCCCGTTTCTCGCATCTTGCAGGTCCGAGAATGCCTTCGTAGAATTCTATAAAACCCACCCAGGACTTCCTTCACTTGGTCAGTCTCTTTTGTTCTCTACCCGTAGTTTCATCCACTCATTTTACTAATTAGACCACTCGGGCCAGTCTTTCGTCGATACCAGTCGCTCATTCTACTTTGATCTAATACCAGCCTACATAATAGCCACTTAATTCAATTTCAACGTGATAAAATGAAGTTCACCACTACTATCTCCATCATCGCCGCCTTCTGCGGCTTTGCGGCAGCGGCCCCCTCACCCGCACCCGCATCCGCTCTCTTCCCCCGCGAAGACTGCCCCTACGGCGGCAACTGGAACCACTGCGAACTCAACGGCTTATACGTCGTCTGCGTCAACGGCCGAGCTGCTAGGTACAGTTGCAGCGGGGGCTGCCAGGCCATCTGCCCCGAAGGTCAGCCCTGCACACCTCGCTGCGATAATGGTCGCCCAGCCTAAAGGACTTGGGCAGGATTGGTGCAGGAGGTGCCCGAACGCGGAAGTAGGGGATACAATGGGGTCGATTAAGCAGGATCCGAGCTTAGTTTAGTCAAGTCGCAGTTGAGAATATGAATCTTCACGATCAACACTTACACATTCTCATAAATTTTATCTTACATATTAGTGCACTATGTCGATGAGCTGTTAGATGCTTCCATTTTTAGTTAGTTAATGGGTATTAAAGATAGGAATAGCATCCCGGCTACGCAGGGCAAAACAAATTCTTAATTCATCATTCTGTCTTTCTTTTTCTGCAATTGTGATAAAACATCCCCCCTTTTTTTTATTGATTCTAACCATAGTTAACTACCTATTGTTTTAAAGTCTTTAACTATTTCTTTTTAATTCTTTTTTAGTTTGTTTGTTTGTTTGTTGAATTTTCCCAATAAATAAAATGCTCTTTCTTTGTCGACAGCACCATATTTAAACCAGGAAGAATTTTGCATTTTCATGCGTATATGCCAGGTAATATCCAATGTAGGGAAACTACAAATTTAGATATTTCAGTCGGAAGAACAGGACGAACTTTACCGTATCCCGGTCTTATTGTGTCCTGAAAGGCAAACTATTTAGGCTTTATTGACCTAGCCTTTTAACGTCTGCCATTCCTTCCAAATCTACGCCTGTTCCTCGAGATACGAGATAACAACTCTAGTTCCGGATCCTCTCCCTCGTGCTCTTGAACATGTTCCCGTAGATAGGTAATCCAGCTTGGGTCTGCCCTGGCTATATTCCATCTGTCGACTAGCTTGAGTATAATAAGAGCTATGGAATTATCGTCCACCTTTAAGATCTCCGCGTCATGACCCTCCCAAGCTTTCAGCTGAGACATCAGTGTTTTATCTCGACGGGCCGCACACAGGCATGTCGCAGGCACGTGTCGAAACTCTTCATACACTGGCAGCCCAATCTCGTTAAACTTTACTTCACAGCCCCAACTGAGGTGCTCGCTCGTTCTAATGTATCTGTACGGCATTTTGCTGTTTTCCAGGGTCTTAAAGTGTAAGAGGCCAATTACCTAAGTACTACTCAGATACTGTTGTGGATTTTGTGACTGTTATGGATTTTGTGATTGTGTCGGGCGATTAGTCAATGTGGTAAGCTGGCTAAGATGATTCAAATGATAGAGGATCGAAACTTCAGAGGCATAAGGCAGTTATATAGAAGTTCGCACCAGAGGACTAAGCGTAGTTGTTACGGGATATGTCAGCTGTTCACATGCGCGGCAAAGAGATAGATCATTGGACAATTTATATATTTCCAACACTTCCTTTCTACAAGATTAGCTTTGAATCACATTGTTAAGTTTCTCAACCTCAGTGCACATCTGTTATAGTCATGTCAAAAAAGCATTTCGACCTCAATGCAAATACAGATTCTATACAATTGTAGAAGACTATTGTGGAAGACTATTGTGGAAGATTATTGTGGATGGAGTTAAAAATATTGGACGAGCAGGGAGTCGAACCCTGGGCTTCTCGCATGTTTTGCGAAATGCAAAGCGAGCACTCTACCACTGAGTTACACGCCCTTTGAACAGACTGGATGTAAATCTGTGCTAATGAATATGTAGCGCGATAGTAGGGCCTATATAGCTAATGCAAAAAGGGATTAATGACGTCACCTATTGAACAATTAGTTTTGAAAAAATGCAAACAAAGAGGCACTTCAAAGGCAACGTTGTAATTCTTTGTTTTACTTCCTTTGTTCATAAACAGATGCATTATTACTACTCTTGGCGCCTTCGGTTCCCGAGGAATGCGATAAGGCAAAGTAAGTGCTAGTACCTAGGTTAACCTACAGATTTTATGAATTGCAATATGTACATGTACTAACAGACTTGGCGATACCCGAGGCGGTGGATCGAGTGGTGAGACTTGGGGATTTAGGTCAGCCTATCAGACCATCACTGATTTGTCACTGCTGTGCTTCTACTGGCCGTCCTGTACGGAGGGAGCAACGGCCCCCCGTGGCAGCGTGGCAGCGTGGCAGAGCGCCGTTACGTTACTAAGTTACAGACTACCGGAAGCCAACGGGGTCCCTCTTGTTCCTATGTCCGCATCGGACGACATCTTGCCGGACATAATATCTCTCTCAGCCTCTTCGGGATTTGCTATAGAGCGGCACAGAATCTCCTCGCTACGTTACCTACCTCTCATGTACCTCTCTTATGGGGTATATCTGGACATTTTAGGTCTTATCTGAAGTATATATCTTCTAGTTAAGTGGTAGGTTAGACAAACCAAACTCAACCATCTTCAAGCTATCGTCTACATATCCATAAATCATCATCATGGCTCCGCATAATATTCAAGATGAAGCACCGTCGGAATTCAACGACGGGCCTTTAGGGACCGAAGTACGACCACCCACGCCACCACCTATGTCCGCAAGCCCACCCCGAGTCGTGGTTATCGGCGCGGGGTCGCGAGGTCACACCTATAGCCGCTGTATCGGCGAATCTAGCAACGGCGTCGTAGTAGCCATCTGCGAGCCAGATAAGTACAAGCGGGAGGAGTTCGTGCAGAATTACATCCAGCGCGACGGCAAGGAACTACCTGAGGGCTCTAGCTTTAACGACTGGCGCGATTTCGTCGAGTGGGAGGTGCGCCGTCGAGAGCGTGAAGCTGCTGGGGATGAGGATGTGCCCGAAGGGGTTGATGCTGCCTTCGTGTGTGTTCGCGATGAGATGCATCACGATGTTATCGTTGCTCTCGCCCCGTTAGACCTGCACATAATGTGCGAGAAGCCGCTCGCCGGGAATCTAGCCGAGTGCATCGCGATGTACCAAGCCCTGGCCCCTTTGCAATCCCGTAAAGTCTTCTCCGTCGGTCATGTACTGCGATACTCGCCGCACAATATACAACTCCGCAAGCTACTGCTCGAGGACCGCGCTGTCGGCGACGTCTTAAGTATCGTGCATACCGAGCCCGTCGGATACTGGCATTTCGCACACTCGTATGTCCGCGGCAACTGGCGCAAAGAGTCTACCACAGCGCCGTCTCTACTAGCCAAGAGTTGTCATGATATGGATATCCTGCTGTGGCTGATGTGCTCGCCGACACGCCCCGGATCTGATGAGCCCCCGCATATCCCTTCCGAAGTCACCTCTATGGGTTCTTTACAGTTCTTCCGAAAAAGCCGGAAGCCCAAGGCCGCTGGCGCCGCGACGAACTGTCTCAGCTGCCCCATCGAGTCCGAGTGCATATACTCGAGCAAGCGGATATACGAAAGCCCACGACACTACGGTCTGGAGACAGGTAACAAGTCCTGGCCCATCAGCATCGTGCTCCCAGACATCGAGAGCTTCGGCAGCGACATCGAGCGCGCACGACCAGCGTTACTCAACCGTCTAGCCGAAGACTACGACGAGTCGACGCCACAAGAAGAAATCGACGCAAAGAACTGGTTCGGGCGGTGCGTGTTCGAGTCCGACAACGACGTGTGCGACGAGCAAGTCGTCAACATAAAATGGGACGACGACCCCCTCCCCTCCACCGCGTCCTCCTCCGGGGACTCCGTCGGCAACCGAGGCGCCAAGCAAGCAACCTTCCACATGATCGCGCAGACGAAGAAGCAATGCGAGCGCTTCACCAATATATACGGGACGACGGGCGAGATCTACGCGGACTCGTACAAGATCACGGTCGAGGACTACAAGACCGGCGCCACGCAGACGTACACGCCGAAGCTCGAGAGCGGCGGCCACGGTGGTGGCGACCACGGCATCACGCGCCAGTTCATCCTGGCCGTCGACCGCGTCAAGAATCACGGCTGGAAAGCTCCGCGCGCCCAGAGCGAGTTCATCGGCTGCAGCTTGGAGGAGATCATCCGCAGCCACGCCATAGTGTTTGCTGCTGAGGATTCGCGGAGGGGCCGCAAGTATGTCGATTTTAAGGATTGGTGCGCCGAGAAGGACATTTCTGCCATAGCGGCGTCTTAGGCTGATACTCTTGCTATATTCGAGTCCCTTAGATCATGGGAGAAAAGGCATATTTTATGAATACAACAACAAGCTTGATCTGTTACCTATTTTTATATACCCGGCGCATTGGCCTGCTATAATAATACATGTTTGTCCTGGTGTACTCGTACAAACCGAGGCATCGTGCCTCTCAAAGCAATTTGACAAAAAATAAGTCTCCATCCACATCAAGAGAAGCACATTCCCCATCAAAATCTTACAACCCAAAGGGCTTGAAGCATTCATTGTGAAGTCGGAGTGTTAGGCATCTCTATTCCACGGCTTCGCTGCAGAGATTCTAGGTAATCCTGCAAGCCCTTCTCTCTCCGGCGTCGTACTACTAGTTCCTGTGCCGTATCCCCGGCCTCGCGATGCCAGGCTTCTAGCAACTGCATGTTTTCAAATACCTGCGAGTCGCCAAAGCCACGTCCCGCCTCGGCGGTGTCGATAGCTCGTTCTAAAGCGTATCGGGCCAGCGCGTGTCGTGGATGATCTTTTACCGCCGAGCTATCCACGCCGCATCGGCTTCTATGGAATTGAGCAATGACACGCCACGCTACCCGGTTCGTCCAGTCGTATCGATTTGATATGTCGAGCCGAAGCGCAACGCGAGCCAGTTTAACTGAACGCTCATCCAGGGGCCCTTTTTGCCACAGGTATGCCGCTGGTTCGATGAGCATCATCAGGTCCGGTGAATGGGACCTACCATGAGAATCAAATATTGCTGATGCTGATGCCACTGCCTTCTGAAGGGATGGCAAGTTAGTTCTTGTCGAGTTAAAAAGAAGTAAGTCTCCTAGCAGAAAAAAACTAATAGAGGGTGCGATAGTCTGCGAGAAGTCATTGGTCTCGAGTAGCATGTCCAGTATGCTCTCCATACAGCTGAAGATGAAATCCACACCAGTTTCCAACGTATTATTACGGAACACCTCATGTATCGCAGTAAATAATCGGCAGAAGGTACTCGATGGTCCCAACACAGCTTCTGCGTAACCCGCCAAATACCTCCATAGTTCTTTCGCCAGTCCATAATCGGGAGATATCACACTAGCTATGAGTAAGTCAAACAGGCCAAGGGCAGAGGGCGCCTTGATGAGTAGATGCAACGAGGTGAAGGCGCGCTGGCCAAGCAGGGCACCTAGAGGATTATGGTTCCTGGAGAAGAACCAGCAAGCCCTACTGAAGTCTCTGGTAGCCTCGCATAATTCACCATCGAAATAAGCGTTGAAATCGGTCTCGAAAGCCGCGGGTGATTCTAACGAATCTCGCCAGCCCAAGGTAAGAGCTTTAAAACACGAGACGAGGACTTCCTGGGCGTGGAGGTGGGACGGCAAAGTCATATGCTGGGGCTCAGCCGGTGGAGGCGTGAGCGCTCGCAGATATTCGGGCAAGTCGACGCCGGCGACGGGCGTTACAAGTTCGAAACTCGAAATACCTTTTCGCCTCATGTAAGTCTCAATGTCAACCGACCTTCCGTGGCGACGGAAAGCAGTAGGTTTGCCCACGGCGCCGCGCTCGCGTTGTAATCGTAACATCATCGCTACATCCTTCTTCTTATTATTCTTAACGAACCCCCATTGTGCAAACTTAGCCTACGGAAGATTAGATTTGCTTTCCACGGTATTCTCTAGTGTGCTCTTCTTTTCGTTACCTTATACATACGGGGACTGTGATGAATAGATTAGCATCCAACTCGAACACGCGAGCAATTCGCTGGTGTATGCACTAACGTTGCTTTAAACCCCTTCGCTTGCATTGTATCCATTAGTTCATTTAACGATTTATTTTCTTCGATGTAGAGTTCATGTATCTCCTCCTTATATAATTCCCACGTCTCCGGTTGGAGATGGTGGCGCGTTGGGGTTTTGCTGTATGGTACCGGTCTCGCCGGGCGGACGGCAACAGCCAAAGGGCCTAGTGAACAGCTTTCATCCTCAACTTCGTATTTCCCCTCGTGCTTGGCCGTAGCTAGACTTCTATATGGTAATAATGAAACTGAATTGCAGCGGCTAGCAGTTGGATCCGGCTGATCCACCCCGATACTATACGGCTCCGAAGGGGTTAGGGAAGAGCCGGTGGTTCCGTCGTATTGAGCTAAAGTAGTACTAGAACCCGGACTCTCAATCTTCACGCTATAACTCGGAGAGGAACTATCGATAGTAACGCCATCATGATCGGCGCCCTCTAGAGTTTGGCGCGGTTCATCTGGCTTCACCGCGGGTTTCAAATCCGGCCCCGCTGATTGGCAATGGAAAGCTGGCCTCATGTGATACATCAACGCGTGAGGTATTTGGACAATCGGCGGCACTTGGTAAAGAAGCTACATGTCCTACGCCAGGGTTTTCCGGGGTTGAACTGACCCAAGGGACTTGAACTGTATGTAGACAGACAGGCGACTATGCTAAAGGAAGCACAAGGTGAGAAATAGCAGGCCAATAAATGAGGAAATTGACGGTGTCCCGCGGGGGAAGGGTTTAAGACGTAACACAGATTGACCGGGCGAGATAAATGCTTGGCAAAAGCACGTTAACGGATCCCGTTCTAGCGTTGTCGTAACTTGTAAGATT